GCAACAAACTCCTTGCGGAGTGCTGCACGGACACGAGCGTCACTAGAGCGAAGGTGGGTAATGAGGTTGGCTACGGTGGCAAAGCTCGAGAGCTCGGGGAACAGGTACGGCAGCATGAGGCGGCTGAGCGCAGCAGTGGCAGGGGAGGAGTAGCGAGCAACTACAGCGTCGTACAGGGCCTTGGCGGTTTTGTGCTCGCCAAAGTGCTTGAGTTCCGCTAGTGGCAAGTGGTTGCGGATAGCAAGGCGGGCAGCAGCGTCGCGCGTCAGCCACTGAGAGCACTCGCTAAGGGCAGCTGTGTCAGCAGGAGCGGCTAGGGCCCCGGAGGTATGGTCAAAGAGTGAGACCTCGTCTTTGCTAGTGCTCATGAGGTAGAGCTGCAAGTCATCTAGCCAGGAGTCGAACTCTACAGGGCGGCCCTCAGCGTCGAAAGAAAGAACACGAAGGGTGGCCATAGTGTTAGATGGTGACGAGCAGCAGGAGCAGTGTGCAAGCAGGGCGCGCGACAGACGAGCAGGGCTCAGGTAGGGCACGCGGTAGGAGGGCGCTAGCACAGGTAGCCGCTGGCAGCGCGTCAGGCAGAGCGTGCGGCAGCAGGCAGCGCGCAGGCGTAGTAGGGCGCGCACTGCAGCAGGAAGGCGCGCGACGCTGCAGCAGGGCGCGCGATGCAGCAGGGCGGGCGACGCGGCAGCAGGGTGCGCGACGCAGTAGGGCAGGCGACGCGGCAGCAGGGCGCGCGACGCGGCAGCAGGGCGCGCGACGCGGCAGCAGGGCGCGATGCGACAGCAGAGCGCGTGACGCAGCAGGGCAGGCGACGCGGCAGCAGGGCGCGCGACGCGGCAGGGCAGGCGACGCGGCAGCAGGGCGCGCGACGCGGCAGGGCAGGCGACGCAGCAGCAGGGCGCGCGACGCAGCAGGGCGGGCGACGCGGCAGCAGGGCGCGACGCGACAGGAGGGCCCGCGTGGGGCGACAGCAGGGCGCGCGACGCCAAAAAAAAAGGCACCGCGCGTGTCAGCACGCGGGCAGGCACGGCAGATTAGTACGGTGGGCCCACAGAATTAGGTCCTAGGGACCTCCTGCTCTGAAACCATGTTAAGATGATAGGGTAGGAATGAATGACTAGAGAATGAGTTGGGTACAAATATGAAACCCTAAACTGATGTACCCCTTATTGTCAACCCCACTACAGCCTAGACAGTAACCTAAGCCATATATGTTTGACAGCTGGCGCTACCGGAGCTCGTGGTGTTGCTGGTGCTGGAGGAGCTATTGGAGCTGCTGGTGCTGGAGGAGCTGGAGCTGCTGGTACTGCCCCGTGCCGACCATTTTTCTACCCGCAGCCGCAGAAGTTCCTGCCGCCGCCTGACTCGGTCCTTCGGCAGGTTCTTAGTCTCACGTCTTCCACTAGCCTCAGTCCACCTCGCCTGTGTCCACCGACAGACCAGTCTCAGCCACAGCCACTGCCTGGCTCCCCGCTGCCTGCTCCTGCTCCTCACACTGAGGTGACTGAGAGTCACTGATTGAGCGTCGTGAGCCTGAGACTCGTGCTTTCGCACTTGTTCGTGCTTGTCGTGTCGGCCGTCCTCCTCCTGCTGTCCCAGGCACTCATAGTATGGCACTTCATCCATCCTCTGTTCCACAGCGTGTTGTCCTACCTGGGCCTCCCGCGTCCTCTCTTCCACACGTTCCTGACCCTGAGTCCAACCTTGCTCGTGCTGCCAGTCCTACTGTCACTCGTCTCCTCGCTACTGTCGTCACTAATCCTGACTTTGAGTCTACTGCTGCGTTTGCCCTGGTCACTGAGCTAGTCGACTTTGCAGCTAGGAGTCGTCTCGACTACGTCGCGAGTCTTGTTACTGAGTCTGAATCTGTCTGTCCTCCGTCCGTCAAGGGTGAGCCTGCCCTTAGCAGTCACGTTCTTGAGGACAGGCAGTTTGAGCTTGAGTGTCTTGTGACCGCTTTACCCCATTTCGCATCCATGCTGCTTTGGCCTGAGGGAGACCCGGATGCATCTGACATCCCTACCCCGCGCTCTTACACTGAGGTGATCGGGTGAGTACTCCTCTCAGTGGCAGACAGCCATGGACGCAGAAATGGCTTCCTGGAAGTCCACAGGCACCTACGTCGATGAGGTTCCTCCTCCTGGGGCGATGGCATGTAAATTCAGAGTGAATCGGCCGCCGGATTCTCTGACTGCCTTCGAGGCGCGTTACGTTGCTCGAGGCTTCAGTTAGCGACAGGGGGTCGACTTCTCCCAGACCTTCTTCCCCACCCCAAAGATGACTACTCTTCGAGTGTTGCTGCACGTTGCAGCACAGCGTGACTACGAGCTACACTCCCTCGACTTCTCCACAGCTTTCTTGCAGGGCAGCCTCCGTGAGGAGATCTGGCTACGCCGCCCACCTGGCTTCACAGGGTCGTTTCCTGCGGGTAACCCAGTGGAGCCTCCGGCGGCCAGTCTACGGTCTCCGCCAGGCGCCTCGTGAGTTGCACGACACACTGAGGACGACACTTGCGGCTCTTGGTTTTCCTCCTTCCTCTGCTGACTCGTTGCTGTTTTTACGCACCAACACTACCCTGCCGCCGTTCTACGTTCTCGTGTACGTCGACGACTTGGTTTTTGCTACTGTTCACACGGAGGCCCTGGCCCTAGTGAAGGCAGAGCTGTAGGAGAGACACACCTGCACTGACCTGGGTGAGCTGCGGAGCTATCTTGGCTTGCAGATCACCAGGGACAGAGCACGACACACCATCACCCTGACTCAGTCACACATGGTGCACCAGGTCCTTCAGCGCTTCGGCTTCCAGTTCTCCTCGCCACAGCCCACTCCACTGTCTACCGGCCACTCGCTCTCAGCTACACCTTCGGACGAGTCCGTAGAGCCGAGTGGTCCATACCCACAGCTTGTGGGTTGCCTTATGTACCTTATGATGTGCACACGACATGACCTCGCGTACCCTTTCAGCCTCCTTGCTCGCTACGTGGCTCCCGGTAGACACCGAAAGGTGCACTGGGATGCTGTGAAGAGGGTACTGCGTTACTTGTGCAGTACATCGGGCATGGGGCTCGTGCTTGGAGGACGGGGTTCAATGGTACTCACAGGACACTCCGATGCTTCTTGGGCCGACGACCAGGCGATCCAGTGTTCGTCACAGGGTTACACCTTCAGTCTTGGCTCTGGTTCTGTCTCGTGGAGGTCCACTCGTTCTTCTTCTGTGCTTGGTTCCAGCTGTGAGGCCGAGATCTACGCTGGGGCCATAGCTGCACAGGAGCTACGCTGGCTGACCTACCTGCTGACCGACTTGGGGAAGCGGCCTCGTTCTCCTCCAGTTCTGTACGTCAACAACAAGGCAATGCTTGCCTTTTGTCGCGAGCAGAGACTGGAGCACAGAACGAAGCATATTGCTCTTCGCTACTTCCTTGCACGTAAGCTGTAGCAGCGTCGTAAGCTCCGCTTTTCCTACGTGGCCTCGCGGGCCAACACTGCTGATGTGTTCACCAAGGCCCTTGCATCTGGTGATCATCAGCGTTTCTGCATTGCTCTTGGGCTTGTGCCCACTCTGCCTCACCTGCTGGTTGCTTGACTTGCTCTTGTTGTACACTTATATAGATTTATATACCTGCTTGTTTACGCTTGCTAAGTTATAATCAGTGTATTGCCTTGCTATTATAACCCTGCATGTGGATTGGCCTTGTGGCCGCTTACTTGTGCTCGGATTGTGTGGTTTCCTTGAGATCCACCCTGAGCTTTGCTTTGCGTGTTCTCTTGCTTGACTGGTCTTGTGACCGTCTGTTGTATTTGCTCTCTCTTACTTAGCCTATGGGGGTGTGTAAAACTATGTTTTTGTGTTCTCCCTAGGCTATAGTGGGTTAGCCTACAAGGGGTACAACACTTTAGGGTTTGTACATGTACCAACTCATTCATAGTTCATCCATTCCTGCACAGTTGGTTCTGACAGAAAAATCAGGGAAGATGCCAAAACGCGGCCCATAGCAAGGGGTAATCAGGGTATTTTCCCCGTGAAAACATAGTCCTGGCTAGCCCTCGGTTTCTGTAGTCTTGCCTCTTGTTTTTGGATCTATTAGTCCTTGCATTCATGTACTTGTGAATCTTTGAACTGGCCTTGTGGTTCCTTGTTTATGCTCAGATTGTATGGTGACTTTATGATCCACCCAGAGCTTTGTGTTCTTGCTTCTCTTGACTGGTCTTGTGAGTTGTGACCATCTGCCGTCATCGCCCGGATAGACATATATGTCTAATCTCGTACACGGGCAGAAATACTTGGGCTGTCTTGTCTTTGGGACGGTTTAGGGTGTCTTATAAGTCTTATAAATGAACAAAGAACCGTTTAGAAGATACCCCCTCGTCATACAATTGCCCCTAACCCCTACACCGTCTTAACTCGTACACACAAATAGGTGTGTCTTATAATGAAGCTACTCCGTTCTACTCCGTTTATAAGAGACACCCGCATAACAGACACCCCATGTCTTCTGTTCAACACTGTCTTATATCTGGGTGATGACGATGTGTTTCTTGCTCTCTCTTGATGTCCCTCACTTAGCCTATGGGGGTGTGTCAAACTATTTGTATATGTATATGTACATATTTGTTTGTATGCTACGCTGTAGTGAGGCAGGCAGTAGAAAGGATAGCACTTATGGGGTTTGTACTTCTGTCTCATTCTCTTCAGTTCATCATTTGGCTAGCACTTTGAGATTCAAATACCGTGAATCAATAAAAAATGGCGAAAAGAAGTTATGAAAAAACATGATCGGTGGCCAAAGAATTCTGAGACTACTCATACTAAAATATGGGACACACCCCTATAACTCCCAGCAAGCAGCGACGAATAGTACCCCAATCCTCAGTCTCAAGAACAGGACCACACAGTGCACCATGAAACAGCACTCGCCTCATTCACTCGCCTCTCACCCCGCACTCCATGTTTTTCCTTCTACCGCGTCCCCAACCCCTTGCTCTTGCTCTCCTGCCCGCTATCTCCCCTCCCCTCTTGCTGCCCGCAGCAATTGTATCTCCCGTCGGACTTCACGCACCACCTCCCAAACCTCTGCTCGTTCCCTCTCAGCCTCCTCCCGAACCTTCCCCACCTGCATCAAAACCTGCTCCCATGCTCCTCGCCTGGCCTCTTCCTGACCATCGCCTGGCTGGTCCGGGAGGAGGTCCTGACTGGGTGCTTTTGCCAACTGGATGCGATAGGAGCTCTGAAGCTTGCTGCTAAGCTGCTCGCGAAGCTGGTCGAAGCCACGGGCCACATCGGCCTGCAGCGCCTCCACGTGCCGCTGCATGGCCAGCAGGTCGCCCTCCTTTGCCGCCTCGCCTCCCTCCCTGGCGTCGGCAGGCGGCGCGCTCTCCCCCAACTCCGACAGCAGCACCGCCCCCAGCGCTGCCACGTCCATGGGGTCCTCCTCGTGCTCGTCGGGGAGAGAGCGTCGCTGCAGGGGCGGATGGGATGGGGTGGCATGGGAGAGGAAGGGCAGGAGTCTGAGAGGCAATCCCCCACCTCCCACAGCGTTTGCACGTCTGAGGAGTGCTGGTGGTGGAAATGAGAGACTGATTGGAGACACAGGAGAAGGTGGAAAGATGCATGGGAAAGATGAAGATCTTGCGGGACTGCTGATTGCATGTTACGAGCATCTCCAGCGGGTGTGCATGCAATGCTGTCGTGAATCTTCCTCTGTCCACCCTCATTCCCTTTCTCCCCTGTGTATCCTGCTGACTTCTCCTTCTCTCCTTCCTTCCCTGCCACCCGTACTGCTGATCAGGTTCATCCCTTCTTCCTCCTGGCGTATGTAATCACTCTGTCCTGCACTCCTCCTGGTACCTCAGGCTTCCCAAGTAGCAAGCGTAACACTCCCCCTCAGGGGCTCCGTCAAATTGCTTATAGCTTCTCCTACTGCTAGTTCCCTATGGATTAGGAAAACAAATTGCAGTAAATGAGAAACATACAAGCAAAAAGCAAGAAGCCCGAGTGCTACTCCTGCCTACATCTATTCCCACCCCCTGCCTAGGTTGCTTCCTCCACAAGCAAGCTCCTGTGCACCAAGCGAGTCAGCCGGGCTGCTCGCGAGGTCTCCAAGGTGCTAGCTGTGTTCCCACTGGGCCCACTAGGCATGCACTGCCTTCCAGCCTGGTGACTTCGAATTCAATTCCCAGGCTGGCATTGAATTCGCCTTCCAGCCTTGTGACTTCGAAATCGAATTCACAGGCTGGAATTGAATTCGTCTCCACCAACCTCCTTGAATTCGCCTCCCACTAACCACCTCAAATTCCCCAGCTACTCGGCCCTGCAGTACAGTACAATACACTCCAAGCACACAAATGAAATTAGAGTACAAAAGCGGTAAACTATAGTACACCCTCACCTTGGCTGCTGTGGTATTCACACTTAGTTGCCAGCTAAGTGTTAATAACGCGACAGCTGTCGTGAATCTTCCTCTGTCCACCCTCATTCCCTTTCTCCCCTGTGTATCCTGCTGACTTCTCCTTCTCTCCTTCCTTCCCTGCCACCCGTACTGCTGATCAGGTTCATCCCTTCTTCCTCCTGGCGTATGTAATCACTCTGTCCTGCACTCCTCCTGGTACCTCAGGCTTCCCTGCCCCCTCCCGTGTCTCAGCGCCCATCTTTGCCGCTCGAGTCACGGGACCCACTGCCTGAGGCTTCCCTTGTCCCGCCCTGGCCACGTTGGTGATGTGTTCCTTGATGATTCCCCCTCGAATATCTTCCAGCACTAACACTCCCGAGCCTCGTATCTCTTTCACCTTCCACCGCTCCGATCCCACCGCTAAGTCCAGCGTGTCGCGCTTAGCTTTGCGAAGGTATACCTCCTGCCCTGCCTCCACCTTGTCACCCTTTCCCCCTATCCCTGATGCTTTACGCTGCTGGTATCGTCTTGCGTCACGCAGCTGCGCCACATGGAGGTTATCCAGAGCTGCCGGAGTCAGCTCCTTCAAATACTTTGCTCTCCTCTGTGCTAACTCCGCCCACAGGTTTGGCTCATCTGCCTCTATAACCGCAGAAAGCAGCTTCGGAGCATCGACCGGCAGCACAGGATCCCGCCCGAACAGTAAGTGGTATGGGGATAGGTTTCTCAGAGCCGCCTGCTTTGCGAACCTGCACCCCGCCAGCACCCACCAGAGATCTCGGTCCCAACTCCTTTTGTGGGACTCATTGTAGGCCCGTAGTCCTTTCTTCAAGGTCTGTATGAGCCTCTCGGTCAGTCCGTCTGATTGAGGATGGTACCTAGAGGTGACCCTGTGCGTGGTACCCATCTCTTCCAGCAGCTCGTCGAAGCTCCCTTGAAATTCCGTCCCTTGATCAGTGAGTACCTCCCCGCATGCCCCATACCTGGTGAGCACCAGCTCCTCAAAAGCGTCAGCTATCAGTGCGCTGTTCTTGCTTGGTAACGCTCGCGCCTCCACCCATTTACTCGTGTGCTCAACCATCACCAGAATGTACTGCTTCCCTCCTTTCGATAGTGGCAGCTCTCCCGCGAGGTCCAACGACCACCTGTAGCCCAACCCGCGAATTGGTAAAGAATGCAGCTCATCTCTCTCTTTCTCCAGCCTTGCTTTATTCCTCTGACATGCCTCGCAGCTCGCCACTAATCCTGCCACATCCTTTCCCATGCTCACCCACCAGTACATGGTGCTCAGCAGCTGCCGTGTTCTGGTTATGCCGAAGTGCCCCAGCTTCGCGTGCACATTCCCCATAATCTTGGCTCTCTCCTGTGGTTGTGGCACCACCTTCCACCCTTCGTTGGTTCTCAGCTGCAGCTGTTCCTGAAACCACCTGAAATGCTGCCCTCGGGCCCTGGCTCTCTCGCTCACTCCTTCCTCTTCTAGTGGCTCCCCTTTGATCCAGCTCAGGGTCTCCTCATCCTCCCATATATCCCCTAACCGCTTCTTTCCTTTCTCCTGCCCCCAGGGTACCGCCGCTACTTGAGCCAGGGCTGCCAGCTGCGCTACCGGCTGCATTGGTGGCGGATTCCTTGATAACCCATCTGCGTGCTGCAGCGTTTTCCCAGGCCGGTGTCGGATCTCAAAGTCGAATCCCAGCAGCTTAATGGCCCAGCGAGCGTTTCTTCCCGTCAGCTCCTGATGAGTCATCAACCATAGCAACGGCTGGTGATCAGTCACAAGTGTGAAGCGCCAACCCTGCAGGTACACCTTGAAGTGAGTGATCCCCCATACAGCTGTCAGGCCCTCCCCCTCGTAAGAGCAGTAGTTAGCCTCGGATGGGCTGCAGCTGCGGCTGGCGAAGGCTACCACTCTCTCCTCTCCTTCTATCTCTTGGCAGAGCACTGCCCCCATTCCTGTGCTGCTCCAGTCGGTGTATAAGATGAAAGGGGCATCTGCCCTCGGTATCTGCAGCAGCGTTCCCGTTCGTACTGCTTCTAACAGGTCCTGCCTTGCCGTTTCCTCCAGCTCTCCCCACTGCCAGCTCCTCCCTTCCTTCAGCAGCTGATTCAGTATGTAGGCTCGGCGGCTGAAGTTCGGTACGAACTTCCTGTAATAATTCAGGAAGCCGAGTAACGCCCGCAGCCCGGTCTTATCCTTTGGTGCTGCCAGGTTCTCCAGCACCTTAACTTTTGCTTCCTGTATCGCCAGCCGGCCCCCTTTCACTTCAAAGCCCAGGTAAGCCACGGTCTGCCTTGCTATCTTGCACTTGTCTGGATGGCACGTCAGACCCGCAGCTGCTATAGCCTCTAGCGTCTGCTTCAGATCTTGCACGTGCTGCTCTTCACTGCTGCTGAAAATCAGTATATCATCTATGTAGCAGGCTGCTGCTGGAATCCCCTTCAGCACCTGATCCATGGCCCGTTGGAACACTGCAGGGGCGTTGCGTATCTCGAAGGGCATCACATTGTACTCATACAGCCCATCCACCCCGTGAAACGCCGTTCTCCGTTTGTCTTCCTCCCTGATGGCTATCTGGTTGAACCCCTGTCGCAGGTCCAAGGTGGTGAAGATGATGGCGCCTTCTAAGCGATCAAAGATGTCTTCTGCTGTTGGCATGGGGTACCTGTCCGGGCTGGTAATCTTGTTCAGCTCCCGAAAATCTCCACACATCCTTTTCGCCAGCACTTTACCCGTGATATCCTTCCTGGCAGCTACCACTGTGGCTGCTGCGTAGCTTGACTCGGACGGGCGGATAATCCCTGCTGCTAGCAGCTCCTCACACTTCTCCTTGCAGATAGCCGCATCCTCTGCATTCATTCTCCTTCTTCGTTGGTAAGTGGGTATCTCTGTGGTAAGGTTTAGCTCCAGCTCTCTTCCCTTGTACCTCCCCAATTCCTGCAGGTTATAGGCGAAAGTGCTCCTGTGCTGGCGCAGCACCTCTCTGATTGCTTCCGCCGTCTGCTCCTTGATGTCCGTACCTAGCTTCCATTCCTTACCCTGCTCAGCTTCTTTGCCCCCTGCTAGTGCCGCAACATTCTCCTTTCCTCCCGTGCCCTGCTCAACAGCTGCATACGCCGCCTGCTTCTCTCCTTGTCCTTGCCTTTTTCCGGTCTCTCCTCCCTTATCAGCTGCCCCCTTCCTCATCTCTTTGATTAACCATCTCAGCGAGTGCTGGTCTATGGCTCTTCATAAAGCTGCTCTGCGCATCCCTTCCTCTACCCCTTCTGCTGCGGTTGCTCCTGGCAGGTATCCCATGGCTAACTCCCGCTCCAAAGCCGTCGGTTCCTCCCACTTCTTCTTCCGGTGATCGTACACCATCCCTGGTCCTGGTATTCCGTCCACCTCGATGAAACCTTGTGCCCTGGTGTATGCCACTAATGTAGGCCATGCCCTGCGAGCTTCCCCCACCCGGTTGCACTGGTACTGCCGCGGATGATCTGGTTTTACCACTGGTGCCGCCACCCTCCCTGGTTCTAAAATATCCTCTACTATCCTGCTTTCGTCCCTCTCCACTCTTGCTAGTCTTGCCCTCAGTTCCCCGTCTGGCAAGACGTTTTGCCAGTACTGCTGCACCCTATGACAGCGTGCCCCCAACTGTGCCCCATCACAGCTCACTCCTCTCCCCAGTTCTGCCTCCACCAGCTCCCTTACTGCCCTGACCGGCTCGCGTACGTCATTCCTCATATCCACATGCTCCAGGATGTAAGCATATTCTCCATTCACTTCACTCGTCCACTTCATTATGGTGAGTAGCTTGGCCACCATCCCCGTGCGCTCGTCCTGTAAGCCTTTCCCCTTTCCGGCCCTAGAAGTACCCTGACACTCCCATCCCGCCACTAACAAATCCACTTTACCCCAGCTGCTCACGTCTTCTTTCGTGAGCTGCCCCACGTCCCATTTCTTGTTCTGCATGGCCTCCCGTAGTACTTCTTTCGTCAGCTGCGCGGGGTACTGCTGCTGTAACATTTGAGCATGCTTCCATGCCATTCTCCTCACCTCGGGGTCCAATTCTACGTATACCCACTTCTTCACCCTCAGGCCTGCTTCCAAGGCTGCTGCCAAGCCCGCTCCTATTCCCCCGAACAGCTCCACTAGTGTAATGCTATACTGATCCAGGTGAGCGCTGCCGTTGCTCTTCCCCACACTTCCTCCCCTCCTGCTGTTCTTCCTCAGTCCTTCTGCTCTCCACGCCTTCTTGGGTTCTGTCTTAACAAACCGTACTGGTAGTTCACTCAGCTCCTTCCCTTCCTCCCAAAAGTCCGAACGGTAGAGCACCTGCTCTTGCCAGGTATAGATAGTGGTGCCTATCTTGAACAGCAGCTCCATTCCTAGTAGGATATCATAGTCTTTTGATTCTGTCAACCCACACTGCACTCTGATAGTGGTCTCCCCCTTCTCTCTCGGCTGTAAGGTTATCTCTATCAGGTCCTGTGTGCATGGCATCCACTTGGGGGCCCCTCCTTCTGCTGTCATGATCAGTATGCCCGTGCTTACAGTCTCTAGGTTCCCTTGCGCTCGCAGTTGTGCCGTCAGCTTCTTCCCGATTAGGACGCTCTGTGCTCTTGTATCCACTACCGCGTTTTCTACCAAGATTCCTCTGACCGCCACGGCTTTTGGTTCCACCACTAAGGCTGTGGGCTGACAGACTAGCCTTTCCTCGGGGTGACGCCGTGCGGTGCTGGCTTTCCCTTGATTCTCCTGCCGCCTGGAAATTCTCCGCTCTTGTAATTTCTGCTCCGCTCTGCCATCTGCCCCTCCGCTGCGCAGCCCCAGGTCTCCCCTCTCCCTTGGCGGCATAGCCATGGTCCCGTATTCTGGTTCCCCTTCCTCAGAATCTTCCCCTTCGTCATCCCCCCAAGCCAGCAGAGCTTTCTCGGGGTCTTCACTGATCCCTGATTTCTCCATCTGAGCTTTCAGTTTCGCCAACTCTCGTTCTAACTGCAGCTCCCTTGCAGTTTTCCCTTTCGCCTTGTCTCCCTTGCTGTAGCATCTAGCTTCGGTATGGCCTTTCTTCCCACACCCCGTGCAGGTCGGCGCCTTGGGGCAGTCATGCCTGAAATGTCCCTTTGCTCCACAGGTGTCGCAGATTATTCCCACCGTACAATCCCTCCGAAGATGTCCTTGCTCTCCACATTTATGGCAGCGTCTCGGGTCTTCCGATGGCCTCTCTTTCCGCTCTTCCTCTCCCCTTCTTCCTTCCATAGCTGCCCAGGCCGGCCGTCTCCGCTCATTCGGTCGGCTGGAACTCGACCCCTGCATGCCATCATAAAATCTCTTCCCTTCCTCCACTTCTTTCGCCACCTTGTAGACTTGCCGCAGCGTGGCGCGTACTCCCAGGATGTACAGCTGACTCCTCATGTCGCCTATCAGGTCCTTGTCCAGACCGTTGACAAATTTCGTCACCAAGAGGCGCTCCTCCATACACCCCATGTCCTCTGCCAGCTCCAGCAGCCTGTTGTAATAGGCTAGCAGCGACTCCGAAGTGGCACGCACGAAGTTCTGAAATTCCGCCATCTGTTCCGCCGAGTGCCCCCCGGGAATTGCTCCTGCAAACTCTCCAGAAATCGGTCCGTTATCATTGCTGGTGAGAAATCGCCTCTCTTGCACTGCATCAACAGCCCCTGCCTTTCCACGCGGTAGTGAGTCAGGGCCTCGCCTTTCAGAGTCCGTCCCAAACCTCTAAAGAACTCGATAGGGTCTAAGCCCTCCCTCTCTCAAAAGTAACGCAGGTCGTCTATCATCATCAAGTAGTTCTTGAGCGTGGGCTCCTCCCCTGGTGTCCCCGAGAAACGGTCCGGCACTTCAATTTTCGGTAGAGCTGCGTTCATCGTGCGGCCCGTCCCCCAGCTCGTGTTCCCTCTATCCCCGCTGTCCACCGGCCGACCACCTTGCCTAGCTTCAGTAGCCTCGTATCCACTCGCCGAAAAGTTGTGGTACGCTTCTCCTCCTCTCTGACGGCGTCTTTCTTCGTGATGTTCATCTTCCCCGCGCTGACTGTGCCGTTCTTCCCGAAACTCTTCTCTTCCTTGAGCAGGATTATCCCCTCGAGATCCACTCCTCACATGGCCGATTCCACTCCCGCCAGCGACTGATCCACCAGTAGCGCTAGGTGGCGGCTCCCCTTGTCGGTCGCCCTCCCACTCTCGATCTGATCCCTGACCCCCGCGCGCGTTAGCATCGCCCTCTTCAGCACGGAATCCAGGTGTCCTGATTGGTAGGCCTTGTCCCTCCATCATCCTTGCAGGGAAACGGAGTCCCGAGCGCAGCTGATGAGTGTGCAGTTCCTGATCGTGCCTACTCATTCCTCACGGCGCATCACCGTGAGCGACTCGAGGCTACTAGCTTATCTCCTGTACTTAAGACAGTCAACAACCTTTTTGCTTGTATGTAGCAAGCGTAACACTCCCCCTCAGGGGCTCCGTCAAATTGCTTATAGCTTCTCCTACTGCTAGTTCCCTCTGGATTAGGAAAACAAATTGCAGTAAATGAGAAACATACAAGCAAAAAGCAAGAAGCCCGAGTGCTACTCCTGCCTACATCTATTCCCACCCCCTGCCTAGGTTGCTTCCTCCACAAGCAAGCTCCTGTGCACCAAGCGAGTCAGCCGGGCTGCTTGCGAGGTCTCCAAGGTGCTAGCTGTGTTCCCACTGGGCCCACTAGGCATGCACTGCCTTCCAGCCTGGTGACTTCGAATTCAATTCCCAGGCTGGCATTGAATTCGCCTTCCAGCCTTGTGACTTCGAAATTGAATTCACAGGCTGGAATTGAATTCGTCTCCACCAACCTCCTTGAATTCGCCTCCCACTAACCACCTCAAATTCCCCAGCTACTCGGCTCTGCAGTACAGTACAATACACTCCAAGCACACAAATGAAATTAGAGTACAAAAGCGGTAAACTATAGTACACCCTCACCTTGGCTGCTGTGGTATTCACACTTAGTTGCCAGCTAAGTGTTAATAACGCGACAATGCTCATCCCATCCCCTGGCGTGCATGCAGTGCCCCCCGTCTCACCATGCGGGCGTGTGCGCGGCGCAGGATGGAAGAGAGCGAGTGGGCGTTGAGCTGCCTCTCCCCCACCACCACCACAGTCTCCCGCTCATCCAGCGTTTTCAGCCGCCAGAAGCTCCGCCGCCTCTGCACTGCCGGCTCCACCATGCTGCCACCCATGGTGGCAGGATCAGCAACTGTCGTGCAAGCATCAGCAGCAGTGGTGGAAGCATGGGCGTCCAGCTGAGTGCTGGTGCTGCCGGCTGCCTGGGACTTGGCGACCCCACCACTCGCCAACAACCCCTTGGTGCTCTCTCCCCGGACTAAGCCAGTCTCTTCTGCTCCCACCATGGCTAGCACTTGTTGCTGCGCATCAAAATGGGCCTGTGCTTGCAAGGCATTGTAAGGAACACCTTCCGTCGCACCACCCCCCCTCTTCTCCTCTTCTTTCTCCTCCCTTCCCTCCTCTGCTCCAATTCTCCCCAGTTCGCCATCACTGCCAGCCTCCTCCCTCCTTTCTCCATCAGCATCACGCCTGCTGCCGCTCACCTCCCTGCCGCACTGAAAGCTCGAGGAGAGGCATTGCTGACCAGACTGCCCACGGCTCTTCTGTGGAGTGGCGGACAATGGGAAGGGATTGAAAGCGGTTCCATATGAGGGCAGAGGCAGTGGGACGCCGAGCAGGAAAGAACGCAGGAAAGCTTTGGCCAGAGGTCAGCCTCCTGCATGGCAGACTATGATGTAGAGCTTAAAGGATGAATTGATTGAACCAGGTTGAACACATCGAACTCGTAGTGGCTCGACAGGGGCTCAGGTCATGCAGGTCGTGCAGGTCATGCATTGGACTTTCAAGCTCATAAAGCACTCCACACTCTCTCAGCACCTGCATTCCCATGCTCACATGCCTGCATACCTCCCTGCCCGCTCACCTCCCTGCCCGCTCACCTCCCTGCCCGCTCACCTCCCTGCCCGCTCACCTCCCTGCCTGCTCACCTCCCTGCCCGCTCACCTCCATGACCGCATTGGCGGTGTTCTCTGCTCCGAGGCGAATGAGGTGGCGCAGCAGACGGCTGTACCTTCTGTACGGCGATGCCACGCGGCGGACGAAGCGCACCACAATCAAGTACATGTCCTGGTAGATCGCCGGTGCTTTGTCCGATGACTCCTGCCAACCGTGCAGGTCGGTCAGCAGACAAGGGCGAGAGGGAGCGAGGGAGGGAGGGTGGGAGGGAGGGAGGGTAAAGAGCACAAAGAAGTAGGTGATGACAAAGACGAACCACAATATCATTTCCGTTGATTTGTGTTGACCCCACTTGACCTGCAATAGATCCATTGACTCAAGTTGACAACTGTTGACTTGCATTCACTTGCATTCACCCTCATTGACTTGTTCCAACCTGTTGACCTGTGCTGACTCACCTTGACTGCTGTTGACCAGCGTTGACTCACCTTGACTGCTGTTGACCAGCATTGTCTCACCTTGACTGCTGTTGACCGGCATTGACTCACCTTGACTGCTGTTGACCGGCATTGACTCACCTTGACTGCTGTTGACCTTTGTTGACCGACCTTGACGGCCATGAAGGCATCCACGATGATGGCGATGAGGAAGTTGAAGAGGATGAAGCAGAAGATGATGACGAAGGAGAACCAGAGCACCATGGCCGCCGCGTACTGCCACCCCACCATCTGCTGGAACCACGACACATAGAACTGCCCCACGATCATGTAGAAGCAGGTCTGCAGGGACAACCACAGCGTGCTGAACTGCACTTGGGGGAAAAGAGGGCAGTGAAGGAAAAAAATCACACATATCATTACCTCCTGTGCAAACCTGCATTCGCAGACACTCTGGAGAATCTGACGCTGATTGGGAAAGTGACCCCATTTTAGGCAAGCAGCATTGTGAACATAAGAATTCGACCAAGCTTTTGTCCAAGCACGCAATTCAGAAAATTGGGCTTACTACCGACAATCCTCCCCTTTTCTCTCTGCGTAACATGTTTGCGTCCAGCACTGATTGCCTCTTGGCACGCATTCCACATTGTCACACCATCCACATTGTCACACCATCCACATTGTCACACCATCCACATTGTCACACCATCCACATTGTCACACCATCCACATTGTCACACCATCCACATTGTCACACCATCCACATTGTCACACCATCCACATAGTCACACCATCCACATTGTCACACCATCCACATTGTCACACCATCCACATTGTCACACCATCCACGTGGCTTGAACAAAGTGACGAGGTCACTAAAACTCGCCTCATTACTGGCGGCATCCCGCCAAGTTGTTTCCACCTATTGTCAGACTCGTTACTCGTCAGTGTAGATGAGCTTTTTGGACACTCGGCTGGGTAGAACTTGCCAGCAACCGGCATAGACGTTGGTGGCAGTAACTACGTAGCACATCAACCTGCAGCAGTAACCCGCATCATTCTGCATCCAAGGGCTGCGGCCCTTGGCTGCAGCGCCGGCCATTACCGCCTCTCTCCCCCCCCTCCCACCTTGCCATGCATGGCTGCGGCAGCCTTCGCGGCCTGTTCTAGCTCCACCGACACAGCCACGAACTTAAAGCACCGTTGCTTTGCACCGGAGAGTCTGTGTTCAGTGGAAACCTGCTTAGGGAACCTAAAGGACTAACCTATGCCTGGCGGATCTTACAAGAAAAATATCCGCCAAAATGACATTTCGGATTTTAGCTCCACTGCAAATACACTTGGACAAGATGACACATTTATAACTTACAAGGCAAAACTTAGGCAAAACTTTTATTGCCTGGAAGTTACCGAAGAAGACTGATAGGATTTTTCTAGTCTCGGTAATAATTTGTTGAGTGTTTGTAACACTTGTCTAGTTTATATCCAGAGTAAGCTCGAACTTTACAACCTCTATACTACTAGCCCGTGATATTGCAAGCATGATTTACCGCACTAAGATTCTAGACTTCCACGGTCACCAACTTGCGAGCAGAATGAGGTGCACCAAATCTTCCCTCGTGAGCTGCATTGTCGCTTCCTCCGACTTCAGGAGGTCAACCTTGCCGATAACTCTACAAGAGCCCTCCTTCGCCACCCAACCATGCCTGCGTGGCACACTTGGCCTCACCCACCTCCCCAGTTCGGGGGTGTTTTGTGAGGTGCTCCTCTTCAAAGCTTCACCTAGCCAGGGGAAGAGCTAATGTAGGCTTGATTATGCTCTATATTTCGTACTAGCCTTACATTATTATTCGGCCAATTTTAGACTTAACTCCATTTCAGGTTACGATCATTCTGTGGTTCGTCTCTTCAAATGAAAATGGACAAGGTTTAGTCGGAGTTTCACCCAACCAAATATATTTCTTAATGCTCTCACCTAACTCATGCAACCTTTTCACCTCGCCATCCATGGCTCCTCGTAGGCATGAGCACGGTACCGAACCGAACAGGTTAGGAACTGCACTGGTTTGTAATCGAACCGGATTAGCCAAAAGCAGCCTCGTGGTTAATCATGGTACAGGAACTGGATCGCTACAATCAAACCAAACTGATTCGTTTCGGCACGGTTCTAGGCCGGGCCGGACCTACACGTCTCCAAACAGCTAGCTAGCCCAACCCAAACCCTAATGTCACTCCTAGCTTGGAGCGAGTAGACAGAACGACCCACTCCATCCGCTTTTTGTCTTAGCGTGCCTTTTCACGTTTAAAGCTGCAGTATACATTTGTCAGCCGGGTTTAGGGTTTTTATTGTGTGCCTCAAAGCTTTGGGGCAAATTTTCAAATTTCAAAAGTTTTTGAACCCAACCTTTCAAATGTATACTGCAGCTTTAAGGAAGTGTGTCATAGTTGTGAGCTAAGGACCTTAGACAGATATGACGCCATTGTCTCAATCATCCAGAGTAAAGCTTTTTGTAACTTATGGTTCAACTCGAACAGGGTATGGTTCAAGTCGAGTAGTTCAGTTTTGCTTGTTATTGAGGTGCCTCTTGGCTTCGACGTGATTTTGGTTCGCGCGGAACTCATATCGCATCGCACGGGTTCTGCTTGGAATGAAAAACTAAGGGAGTCGTCACTCAATCAATTCTGAGCCCCATCTCCTGACTAGCCGACTCCGCTTATGCATACGTGCACACGTCCTCCCCAACCCTCCCCCACACAGGATTCTGTCAAGATACAGGGAAAGAAATAAAGCAACTAGAAAAACCGTGCAACAAAATGAATTGCACATTTGAGCTGCACAGAAGCATGCATAGCACGCAGCACGCACCTGCTCCAAGGTCATCCCAAACACCAGGTAGCCGTAGGTGGCATATGCGACGAAGACAAGGAAGAAGAGAATGAAGAAGTGGAGGAGAGACGGCATGGCGACTCGCAGGGTGCGAGTCATGAGGCCCATGTTGGGCTGAAAGTCCATCAGCTTCAAGAGGCGCAGCACCATGACGAACACACTGGTGGGATTGGATGGTGACAAGAAAGATGGGGAAAGGCAAGAAAGACGAAAGAGATGAGACACATGGGGAGACGGCTTCTGTGCTCATGACCAGATGGACACAGGGAAAGCGTTCTAGAGAACAACGGAGGCAGAATGGAAGATAGAGGACAGGGGGGTGAGGGAAGAATTGAAAGAAGGAGGAGAAAGGAGAGAGGTCAGAGCGCAAAGAGTGGGGGAAATGGGGAGAAGCGGGGAAGGGGAGAAAAGGCACAGGTGGAGTGCGACATAAGGTGAGGAGAGGGGAGGAGGGAAGAGAGGGGAGAGACAGAACAGACAGGACGGATGAGGAAGAGAAGAGAGAGAGGCTCGAGGCTTGAGAAGCAGGACGACCGGGCCCAACGCAGTGCCACGTGCCTGGGCTTGGACTGGGTCGAGCAGTTGGCATATCCCGACCCGACAGCTGGGTTAGGTCGGGTTTGGTTGAACCCACAGAGCACCAACCTGAACCCAGCTGACACCCCAGGTTGGGCCGATTCAACCCGACCCAATATGACCCGTCGCTGATGTTGAGATGCAGAGGTATGATAGAGGAGAGAGTACAACTGACTTGATGCCCTGAAGGGCAAAGTAGACGGCGCAGAGGTTGGTGACGAAGCCAAGCGTGTCCACTGCTGACATGGCGGCCTGATAGCCCACGGGTGGGTTGGGCAGCGACCAGTAGCGCGGGTTGTCGTCGAGCGTGTAGTAGATGTGGTAGTGAGGCTGGATGGTGAACCCCTGTGCTCGCGTCACCGCCACTGATATCCTGTACGTGCCATGGCAGCAAGTGCGAGAAACTGACATAGGCTTTTCACTCCTCTACCGTCGTAAGCAGTAGGTGACTGAACCACCACACTCAATCCACTCTCACCTCTTGATTTTTTCCCATGCCTGATCATCCCATGCCTCGCCACCCCATGCCTCGCCACCCCATGCATTGTCATCACCCCATGCTGGTCGTCACCCCATACCTTGCCACTCCATGCAGAGTTGGATTGGGAGGGCAGACTAGACATGAGCGTATTCACGAACACCTGTTCGTTCGAGTCGAACCGAACATGCCTCTTTTTTTTTTGCCAAAAAGGTTCAATTCAAACATGTTCGAGTTCGAAATCACCCTACGCAAACATTGGCCGCGCTGGTTTCCAATCTAGGGTTGCACAAATCTAGCTCATTTCAAGCTCAACCTCTTGCTTTTAGGGCGGGTCAAACTTTGCACATGTAGGGTTAATTTTCAGCTCAGTTACCACATTTAGGCGTGTAAAAGAACCTTTAAATGTACGGAATCCATTTGACGGGAGACCGTAAATATCTTATGACATTTTGGAAACGAGCCCCGGGATGTGCGGAACACATCCGAAGGTTCACCGTCCATTCGTCTCCCAACTCGTTTCGCGTCAAACACGTCGAACAGTACCGCTCGCTTTTCGCCAAATTTCCTTTGCCATTAATGACCCCCTCCGCCTTAAAAGTTTTAGGGCTTACTCGTTTTGCAAGTTTAGTTTCTAGTTGGGTTGGGTGTAGATTTTTTCATCCCCAGCCTATCCAACCTCATCTCCATCCAAAATCTTATCCTCCTTTGGCTGGTTGGTTGGATTGGTTGGATTCCCCTAGGATCTCCTTGGGATTGCATCTCGTACAACCGATCCCTCCTAATCAATGAATTCAACCCTTGTTCTGACAGTCACCCCATGCCTCGTCACCCAATGCCTCTTCACCCCCTGCCTTGTCACCCAATGCCTCTTCACCCCCTGCCTTGTCACCCAATGCCTCTTCACCACCATGCCTCTTCAACCCATGCGTGGCCACCCCAAGCGTGCTGACCAGATGGCGATGGCGGTGATCTGGAGGGCGATGGAGAGCCAGTCCACCCAGTTCCAGCCCTTGCTTGCGTAGTGCCAGAAGGAGCGGCGCTGCACCTGCCACGTCCACAGCATCTCCTTCACCTCCTCCACGATGCTCCACGCCACCGCGGCCACAAAGAGCAGCTCCACCACGAGGCGCACCACGTTGCTGCTCTCATTCATGTTGTAGTACTCCACGTTCACCGGCTGCACTTGGAACGACGCCTCCATGCTGCCGCCCGACTGCACCGTCAGGGTGGCCTTGGTGGCCGTGAATAGATGCTCGTTGGCTGGCCGGCGAAGGGGGGCGGGGGGGTGGGGGGGAGCAGAGAGGGTGAGTGCACATGCAGACAAGAGAGGGAAGCTCACACAGGCTGAAAGCCAGTCAACAAGGTGAATACACAAGCACACAGAGTTCACAGTACCATTGCGGGTGATGCCAGGCAAATTACCATTGCGGGTGATGCCAGGCATATTACCATTGCAGGTGATGCCAGGCAAATTACCATTGCGGGTGATGCGAGGCAAATTACCATTGCGGGTGATGAGGCCCACGTTGATGGTGCGGGTGTAATTGTCGATGAAGAAGCCGTCCACCAAGTACTGCAGCCGCCGCGTTGCCCCCGCGTTGTCCAGATTCACGTCAAACACGATCGGGAAGCGCCCGCTGCCGGGCTGTGGACACGAAGAGTGTTGGGTTGCGAGTGCAAGGAAGTGCAAGGGAGTGCAGAGAGCAAGAGAGGCAGCTTCTGCAGTGGGAATGTTGGACTACCCAAGACTCTTCAAGGTTCATAAATCTCAATCAAGACTCGACTCAAGACCTCAGCAGCATGGATGGAGCCTGAATCGGCAAACAATGGGCCATGAGGAGCGTGAAGTACCAAAGGAAGGGAGGAGCCTAGAGGGGCTGCTTTAACTAATTGATTCAGGTAAGATGGTTACACGCCCTGTAGTAGGAGGCTGTGGGCATGGGTGAAGGCGAGGTGGGACTCACGAGCTGCTGGAAGCTGAAGGGCAGCCCCTTGGCGTTGAGCTCAAAGGGGTTGGCGAAGGGCTGGTTGGTGAAGGCAGTGGTGTTGCTGACGGCGACATTGGGGTTGTAGAGCGACGAGGACGGCAGGAACACCGGGTTCACCCCAAACGCCCTTGCCGACTCCCCCCCCACACATGCGTCCTGGAAGTGGAACCTGCCATGCCGGGGTGAGGCAGGGGGGACCGGCGGATGAGAGGGGAGGGGGTGATGCAGGGGAGGGCAGGAGGCAGAGGAGGGGGTGAGGCAGGGGAGGGCAGGAGGCAGGAGAGGACTGGTGGACAAAAGCAGGGGGGAGCGGCGGATGAGAGGGGAGGAATGAGAGGAATGGTGAATGTGGGTATGTACACAAGCTGTGTGAGAGGGGCCTGATTCAAAAGGTGCAGGGGGCTGGAGAACCTGCATACGGTCAGGTCAGATGCTCTTGACTGTTGATGATTGGTTTGGGGCGGGGAGGGTGACTAATAGTCAATGCATACATAGCACCAAGGATAGCATCATAATCAAGAGCAAAGATATCAATTCCCTTCTTAAGCAGATCAGCCCAGCGGGGCAGCTCAGCAGCGTCAGGAAACTGCTCGCGCCAGGCGTCGTCGAGACGAAAGAAGCAGCGCTGCGCCGTGTGGAACCTCCCACAGGTCTGGCCAGTGCGGTCACCTGTGCGGATGACGTACGGGCAGGTATCTCCACCCCCAGACCCACTCACAGAGCTGCTGGGGCGAGGGAGTCTCGCCACGACGCTGCTGCTGCTGCCTCTGGCCACCGCCGAACCCCCCACGCTGCACCGCTCCACCGCGCCCGCCACCAGCTCCACTGCCGCCACCACTGCCACCACCACCCCCACCACCCCCACCACCTCCGCTGCCACCACCCCCTGCTCCGCCACTGACCCCCCCACCACCAGCGCCACTCCCACCACCGCCACCACCCCCGCCCCCTCCACCCCCTCCACCACCGCCGCCCCCGCCGCCACCTCCGCCACCCCTTCCCCCCTTGCCCCTGCCGCCCTTGCGCCTCCCACTAGGAGCAGACGCAGCTCCGACCCCCTCAGCACCGAGGTAGTCGACGACAGCAGCAGATGCAATGGAGGGGAGGAGGGGGGAGGGGGAGCACCCCTCAAAGAAGGGAGCGCGAGGGTCGCCACGAGAGGCACCTACAGCTACAATGCTCTTCTCAGCTGCTAGGAGTTCCTTCTCGAGCAGGTCGACAGTGAGGTCGGTGGGGGAGAGGGCGAGAAAGTGGTCCCTGACGGTGCGAAGGGAGTCAGGGAGGCGGGTGACTAGGTGGTAGAGTGTGAGGTACATCGGGGGAGGGTTCTTGGCTAGGAAATCGGGGGGGGAGCGCGGCACGGTAGCGGAGGTCACTAGTACGAAGGTGAGTGATGAGGTCAGCTACAGTGGCAAAGGCAGACAGGTCGGGGAAGAGGTAGGGCAGCGAGAGACGGCCTATCGCAGCAGTAGCAGGGGAGGAGTAGCACGCAACTACAACATCGTACAGCTCCTTTGGGGTCTTATGCTGGCCAAAGTGCTCGCGCTCATCTAACGGCAGGTGGCTGCGAACGGCTAGGCGAGCGTGAGCGTCACGGGTCTGCCACTGTGAGCGAGCTGTACTGTCAGCAGTAGCAGCAGGAGCGGGGGGTTACACCGGACGTGTGGTCAAACAGGGAAACATCATCCTTGGCAGTGATCTGGAGGAACAGGTGCAGGTCATCGAGCCAAACGTCAAACTTGATCGGACGGCCCTCAGCGTCAAAAGTGAGAACGGTAGGACTCGCCATAGTGGCAATAGCAGCAGTAGGAACAGTAGTAGCAGTAGGAGGAGTAGCAATAGCAGTAGCAGGAGCAGCAGGTGCTGCAGTTGGTGCACAGTGGGGCAGTGCGGCTCGGTCAGGGCAGCGCAACTCGGGCAGGACGGCGCGGCTCGGGCAGGACGGCGCGGCGCGGCTCGGGCAGAGAGGGTGGGCCGGCGTGCGGTTCGAGGCGACGGTCTACGTGCTGGCGGCAGCCTAGGCGCGGGTGGCGGCCTACGCGTGGGCGGCGGCCTACGTACGGGCGGCGACCTGCTTAGGCGAGGTGGCGGCGTGCGCCGGTCGACGAGCAGCTCGCAAGCTGCTCTAGGGGCCGCGCAAGGTCAGAGCGGGCTACGCGTGGGCGGCGTCGACGGCGTGGGCGGCTACGGGGTCGCGCGCACTAGAAACGGGCCGCGCGCGGGCGGCTAGCGGGCTGCGCGGGCAAAAAACGGGCCGCGCGCGGGCGGCTAGCTGGCTACGCGACCGAAAAACGGGGCGCTCGAGGGCGCACTAGGAGCGAGGCGCACGAGGGCGCGATTAAGAGAGGGTGCACGAGGGCGCTACTAGCGGAACGGTGGGCCCTTAGGAACGTTCGGTCCTAGGTTCCTAACCTAGGCTCGTAATACCATGTCAGAATGAGAGAAAAATGGTTGGACTAGCAAGATTGGGAGTACAAGTAGGAAACCCTAGAATATTGTACCCCCTAAGGCTAAACCCACTGTAGCCTACAGAACAGTAACATATATAATGTTTGACAGAAGGAGAAGGTGCAGTCAGTGGGGAGTCAGACAGTGCGTTTGAGATGGGTCAGTCGGTGGACATAGTATGGGAGGAGTAAAGCTAGATGGAAGACTAAGAATATGGCAAAGCGCCGAGCCAGGTGGTCATAAGAAGGACGGTCACTGCTGCGCAGTACCCACAGTACCAGAACTCCCAGCTCCAATACCTCCAGCACCTCCAACACCTCCACCTCCAGCACCAGTACCTCCAGTACCAACAGCTCCGGTAGCTCCAACACCAGTACTCCCAGCTCTAGTGCCTCCATCACCAGTACCTCCAGCACCAGCACCTCCAGCACCGACAGCCCAAGTAGCTCCAGCACCTGCACCTCCAGCACCGACAGCCCCAGTAGCTCCAGCACCAACACCTCCAGTACCAATGCCTCCAGCACCAGTACCTCTAGCTCTAGTGCCTCCAGCACCAGTACCTCCAGCTCCAACGCCTCCAGCACCAGTACCTCTAGCTCCAGCACCTCCAACACAAACAGCTCCAGTAGCTCCAGCACCAGCACCTCCTGCCCCAGCACCTCCAGCACCAGTACCTCCAGCTCCAGCGCCTCCATCACCAACAACTCCAGTAGCTCCAGCACCAGTGCCTCCATCTCAAGCGCCTCCTGCACCAGTACCTCCAGCTCCAGCGCCTTTTGCACCAGTACCTCCAGCACCAACAGCTCCGGTAGCTCCAGCAACAGTACCTACAGCTCCAGCACCTCCAACGCCAATACCTCCAGCACCACCACTAGACCCGAACCATCGAGTAACCGACTCGCGAAGCTGCCGTGGCGAGAGAGCCTCCTGCAGACGAGACTGTTGCTGCTGCCACCCCAGAACCTCTAGCAGGAACACCCACGACGCCACCACCACTAGGACGCTCAGCACCCCCAGAACTAGCACCCCCAGAGTCAGTACCCCTAGGACCAGTACCAGCACCACAAGAGTCCGCACCTCTAGTGTCACAACCCCCAACTGCACGGAAGTCTAAAGGCCAGTCTGCTAAGACGGCGACGACGATCGAGGCGAATAACCAAGAGGGGTCTTCAAGCGTGGTGAGCGGCGAGTGGTCGCTGTGTCGTCAGCAGCAGGATCACCCCCCCTGTCCGTCTTTTCTCGCGCGCGACCGTAGAACGCACGCCCCGCGGCCCACGCGTTAGCAGGCCCCGCGGCCTTCAGTAGCGGGCCCCGAGGCCCTTGCTCGACGGCCCCGTGGCCTGCGCTTAGCTGGCCTCGCGGCCAAAACGTACGACCGCCCCACCCCTTAGCCGCCCGTTGCCGCCCGCTGCCGCCCGTCCCGCCCGCCCAAACTTACCCTAACCGCCTATCAACCGCACTAGACAACTCCCAGTCGTGAGAAACCGTCCTTGACCGCATTAAATCACTCCCAACCGCGAGATACCGCTCTCCACTTCACTCAACCTGTCTCAACCGCCCTTTACCGCTCTAGCTAGCACCTGCAACTGCTAGCATCAACAGCAACTGCCCGTGCGCTTGTTACGCCCGTTGACAGCCCACCCGTTTTCCCCCACCGCCCTAGACCGTTCTTCACCGCTCCCAACCGCACCGAAATTCCCTCCATCGCTCCCAACCGCATCCGACCACACTGAACCCCTCTCACAAGCACCAGAACCGCACTCAGTCAAATTCCACCACTCCAGGCCACTCCTAGCCCCACCTCACCGTCCAACACCGTTCCCAACCGCACTTTACCCCACCCAACCGCTCACCACCGCACTAGACTGCCATCAGCTGTACCATCAGCAGTATAGGCTGCCCCCATCGCACCAGCAGCAGCTTAGGCTACCACCAGTAGCACCAGCACTTGCTTAGGCCGTCCTACTACCCGTATTAGAGCGCCATATTATGTGGCGACAGCGGCAGCAGCAGTGGCGGCAGCAGCAGTGGCAACAGCACCGGTGGCCGCAGCAGCAGCAGTGGCCACGACAGCAGTGGCCGCAGCAGCAGCCGTGGCCGCAACACCTGTGGTGGTAGCAGCAGCAGCAGAGCCAGCGGCTGCCCCCACCACGAAGCCCTGTCGGACCCGGCGAGTACACACACCAGTACGTGGGAGCTGCAGCTGGGGTTGAGATCTGTGTGTCCAGTCTTGGTGCTTGCGTAGTTTCCAGTCCAGGCGCCTCAGTGGTTCTTAGTGTGGGAGCTGCAGCTACTACTAGTCTAGTACCAACCTTTGTCGCTGGCTCGGGTGCGACCTCACCGACTGCACAGCTATCCTTCACCCTAGACTCTGGAGCATCCAGCTGTTTCGTTCGCGACTGCACCGACCTCACGCCACTGCACACTCCAGTCATTGTCGCCTTGGCTGACCCCTCCGTGGGATCTATAGTTGCCCACAGCACCACTATTCTCCCGTGTACGGCGGCTCCCTCTTCGTTTCTCACAGGCTACTAAATCCCTTTGGACGAGCATATTGCATCCTGCACAGTCGGTGCCACTGGAGTGCCTCTGGCAACTTTCAACAGGGAGCCGGGCTCTAGTCTGTACTCACTACACACTCGGTCCCACCACACTGGGTCAGGTCAGGTCAGGTCGGGTCAGGTAGCTGTTGTGTCGTGCGACTGTCGGTCACTCACGCACCAGTCGGTCCTTTGGCACCACGTCTAGGTCACTCGTCGTTCCCACGTCTCAGGAGGATGGTACGTCACCGTCTGGTCTCAGGTCTCCCTGAGTCGCTTGCCCCGCTTCCTCGCTCGCCTGCGCCGCCGTGCACTCCTTGCGTCGAGGGTCGGCAGCGCGCTGCCCCTCACTCCTCCTCGTTCCCCCCCACCACGGCTCCCTTCCAGACACTGCACTTGGACGGCTGGGGCCCCTCCCAGGTCCGTGGC